TGTAATTTTCTGAGCACTGTTTATGAAGTTTGCAGCCTTCTAACATCAAGTGATATTATGTAACATTTGTAAGATAGGCCGTGCAATTAGGCGTGTTTCTCGTCGGATTTCCAAGCATTACCCCGAGCGGTTAAATAAAGGCTAAACAAAATCCATTCATAGCTGCTCTATTCTATCTCATCTTGTTGATACAGAACACAAGATTGATGTTAACGAGGCGACTTTCAAAGTCATCTACCGGATACCAACAAATATTAACTTTGCCTTAAGAGTTCGTTTGCTAAATATTGCTGGGGGTGATTGTTGGGATCCATATTGAGAAGCCTAACTTGTGCGTTCAAAAGAAACTAGTTCAGACACTGTCCTTACCTTGGCCACCAAGGTCTGAATGATCCCCAATTTTTGTAGAAATTTCTCTAATTTTAGTTGATATTCTATTCGCTATATCTTATATCTTTATTATTATTATTTAAGCATCTTTAGTGAACTGTAATTCCATCGTGATCTTACTTTAAAAATCGATATTATTTGAAAAAAAATTAATATTGCTATTGACTACTATTCTAGAATATTCTATGTGTATAAACATTGATATATGTGATTGTAGAGCCAGAAGAGGAATTTATCGAAAAGAGTATGCTTTGCTCGAATATTTTGCATTTTATAAATGTCTGAGTGAATATTTTATAGATTGTCCTGTATATAAACTTAACCATTTCTTCAGGTTGTGTGCAGCTGATGAGAAGCCAACAAAATAAACAATAATAGCAGCATCTTATTCTGCACAAACCTCTGTTGCTCTTGCTTTAGTTAAATTAATTAGTAATTGTGAACTCACGATCTTGTGTGTAAATAATGCGATTGTACATGTGGTTTTTGAGGATGAAATCGCCTAAGAGATCGATGTTTTTGCTGAATTTCTTGTTCTTCTTTCGCCAACATTCTCTATTCTGTAGTTTCTTCACGTGTTCTCATTCATCTATTTGGCATATATTTCAGTTCATAACAATAGTAGTTAAATCGATAACCTTTTCATTAATGTTCTGTGCTTATTATTGATTTATCTGTCCTTGTGATATTAAGAAAGACAAGTACACACAACATTGTTCAAGAACACATTGCAATTATAATGTGTTTTGGGGTAACTAACGAAGACAACCGATAGAAGATAGGTATAGAAAAGCCTATAAGGACTAAGTTAATTAACAGTCTTCATGGCTTTCTAAAGTTTTGGCTAGGAAGCTGCTATTCAGTAAGTAGTGTCGATCAACCTTAGATCGATTCTGCTAACCATTCAGCGTATAAATCCTGACTTCTGTCATTTTATACCACCATGGATAGTCAGTGTCTTCGGTAAGCATTTGTCCCCTCATACCTAAAATGAAACCATTGAATATTTACTAGATGGAATAAGAATCCATCTGCTGAAGCAATCTAGAGGATTAGTAGCTTTAGTGGGTGTTTCTGCTCTGTGTGTGCGCTAAATAAGGTATCGCAGAGTTTTTGTGCTTATTTGTTTGAGCATACAGCCTTCTCAGCACGGATCCGAGAAGCTCGAGCTGCTTTCGCTGACTTACACCATCTCTGGCGTAGGCGTCACGCCTATCCGGCTATCAACCAAGGGACGTGTGTACTGCTCAGCAGTTCGCTCCGTCCTTATCTATAGCTCTGAAATATGGCCAATACGAGTTGAAGACATGAAAAGGTTGACTGTTTTTGATCATAGATGTCTACGATCTCTTTCTCACGTTAGGTGGTTTAATAAGGTAAGTAATGTTGACGTTAGGCGTAGAGTGTTGGGAAAAGAGGGAAAATCAATCGACGAGGCTATAAAGTTACATAGATTGAGACGGCTAGGTCACGTGGTGCGCATGCCTAACCATCGACTCCCCCTACGAGCATTACCAGCTGATATAGGTTCAGGTTGGAAAAGAGCCAGTGGTGGGCAAACAAAAACATGGCCTCATCAATCCATGAAATCCTTGACAGTTAAACTGAGTCAGGTAGGGAGATGCAGACTTCCGGGTTGGGGCCTTCGGGACTGACTCTAGGAATCAATGGTTGGAGACAATAGGTGACATGGCTCAAAATCGTTGTCAATGGCCAGCGCAGACGTATTCAGTCTCTGTAATCTTTCATATTTCTTTCTACCATTACGCATTCTGTTTCGCTCTTATACCTGTCAAACTCTATTGATTCTCTTCACTCATCTTCTTGTCTACCTTTGTGTGCTACTTGGAACGTGGCAACTCGAACTGCTGCATTTCGGTGCCAAGTTCTATGTTGAATCCAGACAGACAGCATCTTGGCCCTCATGTAAGTAATTAACCTCTAAACCCTACGGTCACAAGTAATAGGAGTGTGATGAGAGCTGTCTGCAAGTCAAAATTCTAAACAACAATTTATGTCCATAAGATTATAAACACAACAACAATTTGACATTAGTCATTACAAATACATGTGAGGACTGCTTACATACTTCTATTGGTTAAAAAAAATGTTCATGGACAAATGACCTTCAAATAAACTGACTTCATTTTATGTAAAAAAAAAATTTGACTATATATTTTGATGATTAATTATAATCCGAATAAATCTGCTGAAGAAGTTGTGGCTTACACGGAGAAACGTGCAGAAAACAGATCTTGTTTTGATTTTCTTAAAACGCTGGGATTAATTTAAATAATTTACGTCAATGTTTACGTCCCGAGTCGGAGTCATGAGAAAAACAATAACAAATCCTAAACTTGAGGAAATCAACAACCAATCACAGCAAACTTAACGTGGGCAGATACGATTCACAGGTTGGACCGTCTGTCTAAGAGACGATCACAAACAGAACAGAATAACCTTGAGCAAAAAACGACCAGTCAGAAGACGCTGCTTCTCTGCTAACAATAACGCTAATAGCAATATGCGTAAAAATCTATATATGTATCTCTTGATTTTCTCAATAAACGATCTGTTTGTTGCCTGACCCTTGTCTTCTGTCGTTACAAGAGTAACTAACGCAAAAATGTCATCGAAAAGAACAAATAGATAAATAAATAGATTATATCTTTTTCTGAAGCTATGCAAAAAACAAAAAAAAACAGCCAAGCGTTGAAATTATTCAAAGGCACACACATACACAAACAAAATCAATGTTAAAATGTTAGTAAAAAAAAAGGCTAAAACACAAAATCAGTTGTCATTATTATTAGTAATAACAATAATAATAAGATTAAGAGGTGGCGGCGAGAACAGCGTCAGCAGTGACAGTGTAGGCGTATGCTACTCTTATGATAAGACTTTGCAAGCAAGTAGTAGTCAAAGTAATAGTAGGCTTTGTCTTCTGCAGGAACCATGCCAAATTAACTGACCAATAAATAAACAGATCAAGTTGCAAAGACGAAGAGGAAAAAAATAAAAACAAGCATCTTCATGTAGAAGGCATGAAGCGAAGGCACAAGAATAAAGAAGAACAATGTGCAAACGAAGATTCCAATGTGTACAGCAGAGTAAACAATTCTGCTAGGTTCTACCGTCGCAGAAGACGAAGACGACGACGAAGTACTATGAATCATTCGTTGTTTAACCGAAACTGGTCCGTCTATCCAATTAACTAAAACACCACTTCCAAAATATACATATCTATACTACTTAAAACAAAGTTTTGAAGGAAGGAATAAAATGAAATAATAAAGTGAAAATAATCGAACACACACACACAAACACGAGAAGACACAGAGTGGAGAGGAATCCAGTGGTCATGGTTAATTGGGGTAGGCTAGGTAACTAACTATGTTTACCCCCCCCCCTTCGACATACACACAAACATACACGCAGGCATCCATCAGTCTGAATGAAACACCATTTTATTAGAATAAAGTACAAGTAAAGACCCACAAATATACTAACTAGCTAGCATGAAGATGCAATTTCTCATATATGTTGTGTTTAAACCGCTAAAGCAAAAATTGTCGTCTTAGATATTATAAATAGGTTTTGATGTGACTAACCTTCATCATTTGAAACGTCAATGATAGCAACAAATTGCAAAAACAAAAAAGCACTAAAAATTATAAAATATTGATTTTTTGTTAAAAAAAGGAGATTCTCCATAGAAATAAAGATAATAATAATAAAAATAGAATTACTTATTTTATGCGTAATATCAAAAGAAAATCATATTGTTTTCAAAACTTATAAACGGGGTTTCGGGAAAGACAGAGAAAGAGGGAAGAATGAGAGGCGGTTAGAAGACACTGGTATTCTTTCTTATCAGCTGGCAAAGCCACTCACACACACACACACAGTACACAGGTCACAGATAATACATTGGTAAACTCTGCACAGTGTGTGTGTGTGTGTGAATGAATCAGCTGGGAAACAAGATCCATCATAAAAGTAACAAGAAGAATCAGCTCCAACCGACCCTCAACTACACACACACACACACACAAAGAGAGAGAGAGAAGAGACATACAAGCGAGCCTAGAATAGGTACATAGAAGGAATGAACACAGTAAACGGAATGTGTATCAGCGAACGACGACGAGGCAGAGAAGACGCTAGAATAATCACAATAATCAAAGAAAGCGCTGTACCACGCAAATATCAGGGGCATGGGGGGCGAGGTAACAAATCAAATAGAGTTGAGTTTTACTAAACAATATCTAAAATAAAAACAAATTTTAAAAAATCAAATCTTCACATGAACAAAAAAATATTAATAATAATAACACAGAGGAATTCAAATCGTTCAAAAATATATATGCAGTATGTGTATATATAAAATAGCGTTGGTTACTACTATCATAATCGTTGTTGATATTTTCTAAATCAGTTGAGGTGATATAATATCAGGTATAAATAACAAAAAAAGAAGGCAATTAATTAAGGAAAGAAAACTTGAGCATAAGAACTATTCAATCAAAAAATATCGGCATATAATATAAAATTTTTTAAAAAAAAACAGTTTATTCCTTATTTTTTTATATGTATCCATATATACTTTTTTATAATCCGCTTCTCACTGTTCGATCCCTGGAGGGAAAATGAAAAGAAGAAAGATAAACAGTGAAAGTTATTGTTTGTGTAACAGTAAGGAATATATACACATATATATGTGCTCAATCGACGTAGAATGCTTATCCACCAATGTTCCTCCTCCTCATGAAACTGTTGATTTCATTTGCGATTACATCACAAACAATGAGATAAACTTACCCTGTTCCTATCACTTACATCAGAGACATTATCTTAATATGTACAGGAAATATCAGATTCACCTTCCAAGAAAAGGCATACAAACAAATCGATGATGTTGCGATGCTGGGGGCGGGGGCCTCTTGGACCCCTGTTAGCAGATATATTCATGTGCAAATTGGGAAACAAATGCAAGGTATGCTGGGAGGGAATTTGTCCCATATAAACGTCGTAATGTGGATGATACACTCATTATTATTGGTAATAATAGTAATTCTATTGAAAACTTTATTACTCTATTTAATCATATATTCATCCAAATATACGAGTGACTTCCGAACTAGAATCGAATAACAAACTCGGTTTCCTGGATATTGCAGTGACCAGGAGAGATGATAGAACGCTATTAGGCGAACTGTTTTTCGTAAACAGACATGGAGTGGACAATATCTTCATTTTACCAGTTTTGTTCCTATCCAGTATAAACGTTCCCTAGTAAAGTGTTTGTTCTCAAGGGCCCGAAAAATATGCACGAATGACACATTGATGGATGGAGTTTCGACATATACATTCAGTTTTATTAGCTAATGGTTATCCGGAGAACTTTATCAATAATCACAGTAAGGATAGACTACATCTAGAAAAGACAGCTTCTGTACCAAAGGAAACTACTTTATTAACCTACCATTCAAGGGTGGTCAGATTATGCAGTTGACAGCTGAAAAACTTCGGTCAGCCAACAAACGGAAACAATGTTACCCGACATAGGACTAGGTCGGAAAAGAGTTAGAGGTTGTCAAATCAAGGCCTGGGATCAGTGTCTATGAAGTTTTTGAAAATTGGTTTGACCTATGTAGGTTGGGGTCATCGAGACGCTAAGAATCACTAATAGCTGGAGACTGTTGGAGCATAAGGCTCAAAACAGTTGTATCAGTGGCGCAGATGGCATATTCACTCTTTTCGGATCTTCTATATTCATTAACCGCCACCCCCAACCCACCGCAAGTATTCCACTCACTAAGCACACAATGCAATGGAAATAAAAAAGAACTAGAATTCAAAGTGCGTCGGTGGTTCAGCGGTAGAATGCTCGCCGCCAACCACGCCACACATGGTTCGGGGTTCGATTCCCGGTCACCGACGAGGCAATCCTTTATCTCGCTAATCCAGTTAAGAAAACGGCTGGTAAGGATGGAAGTGTGGGCATGAGGCTAGCAACTTCATCTCGTGAAAATAAACGCTACCACTGCTACCGAAATTTTAAGCCACTAGCTTGAAGCTAACCTATGTCCCAGTGGGAATGTAAAGGTATAAAAAAACGCATTCAAACACGAAAACAGTTTGAAACACACACACACATACACCAATTATAACTTACATATTATCACTTTGTTGTAATACCACCGGTGAATTTATTCATCGCTGATGATGGCGGTGAAGAAGCAACTGAGACAGCAGTCGACAATAGTTCATCATTAACATTTGTCTTGATCACAGGACTAGTTGGATATTCAATATGTGCACGATTGAGTACTTTTAAAAATTCCAATGTTTTAGCCCGCATACGCATTTGTATATAGGCCTTAGAACATTTTATATGATAGTGTAGATAAGTACGTAGAGTTTGTATTAAATCGATTGTTGAATTACGTACAGTATCATTGGCTAAATGACGTGGAAACAGCACTGAAATTGAAAAGAAATAACAAAAAAGATTAAAGGAAACAATAAGAAGGGCGAGAAAAATATTCATGCGATAAATATTTTCAAGTATTTGGTTTTTTGGAGGGATTTTCATTGATTGGTTGGAGGGTCTCTTCATGAGCTGATATTGGGTAGAGAACGATTGGAAAACCTACAGGGAGTACTGGACAGCTGTTTCGTCAACCTAGTTTGGGACTCTTCAGAAGTACGCATCTACCGCCAGGGTTCGAACCCAGGACCTTCTGGTTACAAGGCGAGCTCGCAGATCATTTATTAGCCACTGGGACCCAATCCAACGGTCCACAGTACTGTCTTCTGTTTGACGATAAAGAGCCCGGTCTAAATGTAAATAACGTGAGGCGTAAACACACAACTCCAATGCCTTCATAATTTCATCTGGATTTAAAGGACAGCGATCATTGAGTTCGTTGTTAGAACGAAGTAAATTATAAATAATACTTGAAGAGTCTTTAATGGAAACATTCGTGAATAATGAGTAAACATCGAAACTTGCCATCACTTCTTCAATATATATATATATATATATACATTGGTTTTGTAGGGATTTTGTTTGATTGGTTGAAGGATTTCATCATGAGCTGACATCAATTATTTACAAATTATCTTTATTGTTATTATTATTATTTAAAGTTTATACAATTCAGTATGTGACGTCATTCATTTTGAACAAATCATACGCTACATTTCAATCGTGTAAACGAAAACATAAGGGCCTTTGTCTTAGGTATAAGGGACTACTTTCGTAATATGTGCATTGTAGGATGAAGATTCAGAGTCGCCTCTTCAAGCATTAAGATTGATTCGTGCGCTAGACTTTCATAGAACATAGTGGAAACATTGCTGATCGTTGGTTTTTGGCGCCTTATTTTAAGTCAATCGGATTCGGGGGGGGGGGTTGAATCCCACTCCACCTACTTTAACCTAAGAAACTGGATAGTTCAATTAGTTCTCTGATCACACAGTAACTTCGGTTTATAGTCTGGTACACGACAGACCTATTCTAGGTTTAGTTGGGTTCAAACAAACTTCCAAAAAGAGGGCCGTTGACCAGAAATCCTGCCTCATTTGATAAAGGTTTTGAGGTAGTCAGTCGGTACAACTAGTCCTCACAGAATCAATGAAACCCAGTCAGTGCCGAAGAAAAATGCTAAGTATGAATCTGGACTTTAGCAGAGAATTAGCCAGCAGCAGCAGGTATCCTAAAGAAGACTTGTTACGCCGACGCTAAGATTAACATTCTCCAGTCACCATCTGTTTCAAAGACAGTCTCAGACATATGACTACGACAATGTGTATTTATCAACTGCACATACTCCTGTGGAGCAGATAGGTGTACATAGGTTATTCAATGTATCCTTTTAATAAGTGTTGAAGAACACTACCCAATATGGCTACAAAGAGGCAAAACTCGTTCATTCAGAAGTATTTATAATTTAACACCTAGTCAACACCTGTCGAGGAATGTCAACTGACTCATTCACTCAGACTCATTTACAACGTGAACAAAAATCTATCAAAGGCAGTGTGTGTTTCGAATGCTGTGTATTGCAGAAACTCTCGCCATATGCATACAGAAGCTAGAGATATGTGTCCAAAAGAAACTAGTCCAACTCCTCTCTATTTATCATTGATCCAGAGTTCTGTTTGATTTCTTAGTTTTCGTTTGCTTGCTTTTTTTTCATTCCTTTCAGATATTCTTCACCTTCAGTTATGAAAAATAAACTATTAATTCGATTGGATACTAGTAACTAGTGTGATGTGTCTAGCTAATCCTTTCTTTGGTGCAGACTGAATTCTATCAGTCAGGTTTGCAATGTGGCCACAATTCTAGGTAGTTCACCATAACGGTGAACATAGATTGGATGATATTCGATTATTGAAGGCAATCGGCAGGATGCCCTACCTGGCCTAGGTTTCGTGCTAGTTGACACTCACCAGTCAGCAACGCGTATCTGCAATCGCCTTCAAGGAACTCATGTCTCTTCTGAGGAGCTTCGAACCGGCGTCAACCTAGTGCCGTCTAAGGTCAGAGACGTTAACACTGAGCTATTTGAACTGATATAATTCAGTCTGCACCAAAGAAAGGACCAGACACATCACACTAGTTACTAGTGTTCAATCAAAGTAACCACTACAGTGCTAAAGGAGGTCAATCGCGAGCCTGAATAGCTAGCTCATTGGTAACGTCTGTGACTGCAGCGCACTGGGTGACGCGGATTCGAATCTCCCTCAAAAGGGACATGAATTCCTTCAAGGCAGTTGCAGATACGCTTTACTGACTAGTGAATGCCAACTAGCACGAAACTTAAGTGGTCCAAGGCTTCCTGTGGCCGATTTCCTCCAACTATCTAATATCAAACTCTTATTTCAATTTATTTCTATGTACATCCCATTCAAACTTGTATTCGTATTTCACATACTTTGTGAAATTTTGTTTTATTATGCCCTTTAAGGATCTATATACATTCACATCTTCAAACTTTCACAATCAAGTTGAAAATTATTATCACTTTCAATTTCCTCCCCTTGTTACTACACTGAACTAAATAATAATTGTATCTATGTAAACTTAATTCCATATTAGTTTGTTTATTAGATGTATCACACAGTCAGTGAAACAGTATTACTGTTTACTGGATGACCAGGTTTCGAACAAAATTTCTTACTGTTCATAATCCTATCATCAATTATAATCACAAAACTTCGAAACTTGAGTTTTCTATAGTTTTCTTTGTTCTCTCCTATTTGTCGTCGTAGGGGTAGTCGAATTTTCCAGATTCCACAATAAGGAATCTAAATCATAAAAGGAAGGAACCTCGGAAACCACCTTACGCAGAATTCTTAACAAGGCAGGAATAAAAGTGACTGGCATTCAAACACCCTACTAACTCAATTAGAAACAGGCTTTGTCGGTTAAAGGATCCTGTGGAACTAACTAGACAAAACAATTTAGTTCATCTAATAACCTGCCTGCGATAACTGTCAGGTCAAATACATAGGTCAAAGTAATAGAACAGAGTCAGTCAGACTAGCCAAGCATATAAGCCTAGCAAAATCTAGATTAGTTGACCCAAATAAGATAAGAAATCTAGAGAAAAGTTCAGCTATAGTACTCATTACATGCAATTACACACAACCATACAATAGGATAGGATGGAATAAGATGACAGTTTTTGAAATCTGTCAAAGGGTGGAGGGAGGGACTGATATCAGAAGCTTTGTTTATCGAATCAACTGCAAACACGTGTGTAACAGGAAGGCTTCAACGCCTGTCCAGTTAGATATCTGGAAATTCTTCTACCCCTACGACAAATAGAAGAGGACAAGGAAAACTGTAAAACTCAAGTTTCGAAGTTGTGTGATTATAATTGATGATAGGATTATGAACAGTAAGAAATTTTGTTCGAAACCTGGTCATCCAGTAAACAGTAATACTGTTTCACTGACTGTGTGATACATCTAATAAACAAACTAATATGGAATTACTTACGACCACAGTGCCCAAGTTGTACACATATATTAATATGTAAACTTAACTTTCGCTGACTTACACCATCTCTGGTGTAGGCGTCACGCCTATCCGGCTATCAACCAAGGGACGTGTGTACTGCTCATCAGTTCGCTTCGTCCTTATCTATGGCTCTGAAACATGGCCAATACGAGTTGAAGACATGAAAAGGTTGACTGTTTTTGATCATAGATGTCTACGATCTCTTTCTCTCGTTAGGTGGTTTAATAAGGTAAGTAATGTTGACGTTAGGCGTAGAGTGTTGGGCAAAGAGGGAAATCAATCGACGAGGCTATAAAGTTACGTAGATTGACATGGGTAGGTCACGTGCTGCGCATTCCTAACCATCGGCTCCCTCGATGGGCATTACTAGCTGATATAGGTGAAGGTTGGAAAAGAGCCGGTGGTGGCCAAACAAAAACATGGCCTCATCAATCCATGAAATCCTTGACAGTTAAACTGAGTCAGGTAGGGAGATGCAGACTTCCGGGTTGGGGTCCTCAGGACTTTAGGAATCAATGGCTGGAAACAATAGGTGACATTGCTCAAAATCGTTGTCAATGGCCAGCGCAGATGTATTCAGTCTCTGTAATCTTTCATATTCCTTTCTACCATTACGCATTCTGTTTCGCTCTTATACCTGTCAAACTCTATTGATTCTCTTCACACATCTTCTTGTCTACCTCTGTGTGCTATTTTGAACGTGGCAACTCGAACTTCTGCACTTCGGTGCCAAGTTCTATGTTGAATCCAGACAGAAACATGTAAACTTAAGCATAAAACGTGATTCTACAGCGCTGTTTTCCAAGGATGAGCTTCGTATGTTCTTTTCTGTCTAAGTAAACAAATACTGCATAATACCGTAGGCAATAGACAGAACTACAAAGTGTAATTAAATGGAAACAGAATGAAAATCAACCTACCGAAAGTGATGTATGCAACTGAATCATTGACAACTGCATCAGTTCCTTGTAATTCAGCTGGTGGTACTCTATGCGAGTATAATACTTGGGGCGCTCGATCTAATCGTCTTCGAGCTTCCGTAAACTCCTGTAGTATTAAATATAATATTTATATAAGCAAAAAACTGAAAAATACAGTAGTAAATAATCTTTTCATTAATAAGTAAGTATTTTTATTTTTTTTTATTTTATTTTTGATTACAGCTTGATTCCACACTGTATTTTTGGTACAAGTATGGAATTTTCAGCATGGATATCGGTAGCCCAAATTTTGCAGGCCGACCATAGATATCAGGTGTGCGTCGGTGAGGGCTCGAACCCCGGACCATGTGCATGGTCGGCGAGAATCCTAACCACTGTGCCACCGACGCACATAACAACTGCTGTCTACTGTTAACTCCTATCTAGACTGTTGCATAATAACGCTAAAGTTAATAGTCAAAGGTTGATTTGTGAGGATTAGATTTGTTTCTCTGAATTTCACCACGGATTGATATCCAATTTAGAGAATCATTGAAAACCAGCCAGAGGGAGTACTCGACAGCTGTTTCGTTAGCCTAGTTTGAGAATCATCGCTAGTACGCACCCACTCCACTGCCAGGATTCGAACTCAGGACCTTCCGGTCACAAAGCTAGCAATCTCGTATACCATTCTGTCTGTCTGTTATCCACACAGAACTTTGCACCGATGTGCAGTAGTTCAACTCGCCACACTGCCTGTATGTAGCACACAAAGCAAGAGAAGACAGTAGAGGAAATATACATATTACAGACAGTAAACAGAGGTATGAGACAAAGGAACAGTAATGACGAAGAACAATATAGTTTCATTGAAAATCATAAGTTACAAGGAGTAGATGCATCTGAGTTAGCCATCACCGAGAATGATTTTGATCTAGCCAAGTCACCAATTGTCTCCAGCCTTCATTGGTTTTCACCGTCCCGGGGAACCCAACCGCTCAGGAAATCTACACCTTCGTATGTGGCTTGAACTAACTGTTGTGGATTTCACTGGCTAATGAAGCCATGTTTTCATTTGACCGCCGCTAGTTCTTTTCCAGCCTAACCCTATGTCAGCTAACATTGCTAGTTGTCGAGGAAGGTGATGACTAGGCATACGTAACACATGTCCTAACTGTCTCAGTCGATGTAATTTCACAGCCTCATGGATTGATTTCCCCTACTTACCCAGTACTTGACCGAGGCTTAGCCTCAATATTGCTCACCTTATTATACCACTTCACACGGGATGTAGATAGAGCGCAGGCACCTATGATCAAAGACAGCTAGGCAGCCTTTTCATGTCTTCCACTCTCAATGGCCAGGTCTTACTGAAAGCCATGAAGGAGGACGGAGCGGACTGATGAGCAGTACACTCGCCCTTTGGTCGATAGCCGGATATCACATCTACGTCAGAGATGGAGTAAACTGGCGGGTATATGCTAAACAAGCCTTCTGTATTCGTGTTGAGATTTCATCAGAGGCCAACCCGTTGGGGCTGGTGGTACTTCCCAAATAAGTGAAGCGGTCAACGTGCTCTACCACTTCACTCCCTATTTCTAAACTATGAGTCCGTGTAGTATACCATTCAGCCACTGGGACCCGACTCCTCAATGGCCATTCCATGAATTCTAGCTTCTACCAATTCGTGATTTTTAGCACGATTGACACCAACCAATGTCATCGGGGGGAAATCCATCCCTACTCCCAACTGGATGCACCACACTAGAACTCCAGGAAACTCTGTCCTGTAGCGAGTCACTAGCGAGAATCAGTGGTCATATTCGAAAAATAAATCAAATCCTTACAAAGTGACCATTGACAATAAATCTGGTGCTCGCTAGTGACTTGCTGCTACAAGATGGAGTTCTTGCGAGTTCTAGTGAGAATTCTTGACCAGTGAGGTGCATCCAGTCAAGAATGTTGGTAGATTTCCCGCTGATGACATTAGTTGGTAGTCGCGCTAAAAATCACAAAATGGTAGAAGTTAGGATTCATGGGTTGGCCATTGAGGAATCAGGTCCCAGTAGCTGAATGATATACGAGCTTGCTAGCCTTGTAATCAGGTCTTGGGTTCGAACCCTCGTGGTGGGTGAGTACTGCCGATTATCCCCAAACTAGGATGAAACAGCTGTCCAGTGCTCCGGTGCTGGTTTTCAATGGCTCTCTAAGTTGTTAGTCAAAATAGTTGACTAACAACGACTCTTAAGTTACCCGATTGATTTATTGATTTAAAACACAGAACCTGATACAACCTAGGCACCAAAGAAGATGCACCACACAACAATAATAAAACACCATATGAGAAAAAATTGGTAGACAGTAAATAATGGAGTTCATCTAGTAGAGGAGCTGGTATATTTGACAAGGTCGAACAACATTCGTCATATTACTGCAGGAAAAGGAAGAAAGAAAGAAACTGTAGCATGTTCACTATTGATTGCGATTCTTGGTAATATCTGATGACTTTTCCAGCCACCAATTCGAACTACCTCTCTGACGCCAACCAAGGAGTCGTGATATACTAACCAATGCTACCCTAATACAAATATCGTTCATCCTATGATGCCACGTCATAAGCTAACCAGTTCTCCGTTTTTCCCATTCCCTCCCACAGCTAGCGAAGAGAGACCGGTACGAAAGTCCCTGCAATGATATTCGTAGCATAAGTCCAGGCCACCGAAGTCGATGACAACGCTCAATGAATTACAATCTCCACTGTGTCCAAACATATGCCACCGGACCTTACAATTACTCACACAATGATGCCATCGAACGCAAGCAATTCTAGGGAGATGGTGAAGACCAAATACGCAGAGTTGCTTCACATAGTCAGCTCAGAGACCAGGCTAAAGAGGAGTAGAGGAAGACTGTGAGCATCAAAGCATTGTAAACCCGACCTTTGACACCCAGACTAAGTGGCAGCTCCAAAGGTGGGTGGCTCAAATTGTTAAATGCAACCCTAGCTTTCAATATGCAGTTAGAAATCTCATTCATCATGCCTACGTCAGCACTCAGACCACTACCCAGATATCATAAACTTATCAACAACTTTAAGAGATTCACCCTCCAGAATGATTGCAGGTACAACAGACTCCTGCCAACCTTGTAGCAGTACCTTGCACTTAGACGGCTTAAAGTATATACCATACTTAAAGACACTGATTGCCAACTGATTAAGTGTAATTGGGACAGCTTGCATGCTACCGCACAGTAAGAAGATATCATCTGCATACTCGAGATCAACAAGTCTTTCTCCAAAAGGTAGACCTACACCACCACCACCACCACGCACGTCTTCCAGAATGTCGTCGATAATAAAGTTAAAGAGAAATGGAGAGATTGGACAACCCTGTTTAACCCCACTGTTGGTTGGGAATAGTGATGATAGCTGGTCGTATGTCCTTATACTCTACCTGGGGTATTTTTGTATAGAGCTTTCAGGAGGTACCCCTCTCAGTTCCAAAGAACAATTCTCTTCTGGCATTTATAAGTTAGGAGACAGAATTCTCCCCAACTGGTCACAAACACTAATTGTTTCAATCTCCCACAAACAAGAAAAATCCTTCTGTGATAATCACAGAGTCAATGAATCCATCAATATGATCGCTGAAATATTAGGGCGCCTAACCATCCAATACTTAAGAAAAACAGATTGACTTTTAGGTCTAGCTGAGGGTATACTTACCAAATTATCCACCCTTCAACTCAACATGGAGGACATGTATGAAATTACCTTGTGACTACACTGATCGAGATACCTTATAGTGGTCTATTTCAATGAATATGGTATCCAGATAGATACATCTTCCTACTAGAGGTTGTAAACTGGAACAATTTTGATTGTACTACAGCCAATGGTGAGCTCTGTTACGTAAGCCGGTGGTCTACATCGAGTGGCGTCCAACAAGGTTGTATACTGTCTTTAATTATTAGCCAACTTCAAAACAGATATGCTTTCAGAGGTTTCCACCTATCACAGGAGATGCACTAGTTAATTTAGTAGTGCACTCACATGATGTACAATTCTTAGACCAGAATATGTAATTTCATTGTAGAAACCATTGCAGATTCAAAAATGCATTAGTCAATACTGAAGTAGGAAGTGGTAACGTATTGGTCATGCTTATTTTTGTTATTTCTTTGTGTCCTAAGCAGAACATACGGCTTCAAGCCTGAGCCTTGAAGTTTCAGTAGCAGTGTTGTTTCTTTTAACGGGTCAAAGTCGCTAGCTTCACACTCAGACCTTCTCACTTTACCAGGCTTACAACACCGGCTGAGTAGGGCTTAAGAGTGCTTCGGAAGCCAAGAACCGAACCCTGGAACACGTTTAGCGTGATCGGTCAGTATACTACTACTGTTATTATTACTAGACGGAATAACTTGAATATTTACAACCACACATTGACAAAAGACAAAAAAGGATATTTGTCATCGAAACTTAGACTTACCTGCATAAAAACTTTGCCTATTAACATATCGTCGGGATCTTTGAATATTGTACTAAAGATAACTGTAACACGATCAGCCAGTGCTTGAACGTACCTAAATGAAAAACCAAAAAAAGCGATCGATATATGCAGTAAAGTGACTAACTGACTGACTGGTTTCAACATAGAACTTTGCACGGATGTGAGGCAGTTCGAGTCGCCACACTTCACTTAGCACACAAAGCAAGAGAAGAAAATAAAAAGAAATGCAAAACAGATATATGAGGTAAAAAGAATAGTAATAATGAAGAAACATATAGTTTTATTGGATATTATAAGTCACAAGGAGTGGATGCATCTGTGCTATTGAGAACGACTTTGAGCTAGCTATATCAGTTGTCTCTAACCTTCATTTGTGCTTACCATCCCGAGGACCCCAACCAGTCAGGAAGTCTACACCTCCCTACGTGCAGGCTGGCTGGCTCAAACTAACTGTTGTGGACTTCATTGACTGATGAAGACATGTTTTCGTTTGGCCAGCATTAACTTTCTCTTTTCCGACCTGATCCATTCTATGTCAGCTGACATCGCCATCGCCTTCCTCGACGGGCAGTGTTAGCTGACATAGGGTCAGGTTGGAAGAGAGCTAGCGACGGTTAAAAAAAACATAGCCCCATCATTCAATGAAATATATACGTTAGTTCAAGCCAGCCCGTCAAGTAGACTTCCTGACTGGTTGAGGTCCTCGGGATGGTAAGCACAAATGAAGGTTAGAGACAACTGATATAGCTAGCTCAAAATCGTTCTCAATAGCACAGATGCATCCACTCCTTGTGACTTATAATATCCAATGAAACTATATGGTTCTTATTGATACGAGTATAAAACTTGGGCACTGTAGTAGAGTATAACTCCATTATAAATAAGATAGAATATCAAAATAAAAGGTCAAAAGCAAAATAAAAATAGTGGTGAAACTAATAATGATAACATAAATAAGAGAATATAAGGCATCTACTGTTATACCATATAAGGAGGGGACACCTGAGACCCTACGTGGTAGGATTCTTAATAAAGCACCAATTAGGGTGGCATTCAAATCTACAAACTCACTCAGGTAGGACAAGATCTGTAGGCTAAAAGGCCCGGTGGACCCAATTAGACAAAATAATATAATTTACAAAATACTCTGCAATGGCTGTGAATTAGGTCAACTACATAGGTCAAACTAGTAGATCGGAGGTAATCAGATAGTCGGAAAGCTGCTACCTTGACGTGGTGGTCGGGCTTGAACACCGCAATGATCTATTCAAGCTATACTGGCTGAGACTTATGTCTTTTGAGGTCCTACCATGGCAGGCAGGTTGTTTGGATAGCAGTTAAACAAAAAGCAGCTACCCAATCCAACATCATGATAAATACAAAATCACAAAATTTCATGCTGGATCGGCCGTGGCCCGGATTAACAACGACCACGCTTCTTGCTGCCGTGTCACAGGGCAGGAGTGATAAATCTGCTACTGAGGCACACAAAACAACAAAGAATAAACAAAAACAGGCCGCATGTGACCGGCCTCAAACAGTTGTCCCTTGGGCTCTGCGGTCACGCAACCAACTTCCACGGTGTGGGCAACCGGGAAGTAACAATCGCCCTCACAATCCGACATGCACACGAAACCTCTCTATTATTCACTCATCTTTGTCTTCATCTTCATCTCTACTATCTTGCCTTCCTTCCACTGATGCAACTCCTCGGCTTGATAGCTCTCCACTCTGCGTCCACTAAAAACGATGGAAGCCAAAAAACCACCACCGACAGCCTCTTAAAGCCGCGCCACCAATTTCATATAGGAGCTCTTAATGTTAGGACACTTTGCCAAATAGGACAACTGTCTGTCTGTCTGTTTTCGACATAGAACTTTGCACAAATGTGCGGAAGTTCAAGTCGCCACATTCCGTGTAGCACGCGAAGCAAGAGAAGAAAGTACAAGAAAAGCATAATAGAGACAGTGAGCAGAGGTGTGAGACAAAGGAGGAGTAATAACGAAGAACAAAACAGTTTTATTGGAGATCATAAGTCACAAGGAGTGGTTGCATCTGCGCCACTGAGAACGATTTTGAGCCATGTCACCAATTGTTTCCAACCATAGATTTTTACCGTCCCGAGGACCCCAGCCTGGAAGTCTACACCTTTCCACGTGGCTTAGACCGACTGTTGTGGATTTCATTGACTGATGCCAAGTTTTTGTTTGACCGCCGCTAGCTTTTTTCCAGCCTGACCCTATATCCGCTAACATTGCTCGTCGAGGGAGGCGATGGCTTGGAATACGTAACACATGTCCTAACCATCTCAGTCTTTGTAGCTTCACGACTTCGTCGATTGATTTCCCCTGTTTACCTAGAACTTGACGCCTAACCTCCATGTTGCTCACCTTATTATGCCACTTTACACGGGATGTAGATAGAGCGCAGGCACCTATGATCAAAGACAGCTAGGCAGCCTTTTCATGTCTTCCACTCTCAGTGGCCAGGTCTCACAGCCATACAGGAGGACGGAGCGGACTGATGAGCAGTACACCCGCCCTTTGGTCGATAGTCGAACATCTCGTCTACGCCAGAGTCGGCGTAAACTGGCAAATGCGAAACGAGCCCCTTGTATTCGTGCTGAGATTTCGTCAGAGATCAGCTCGTTGGGGCTGATGGTACTTCCCAAATAAGTGAAGCGGTCAACGTGCTACTACACCACTTCAATTCCTATTTTTAAACTATGCGTCGATGTAGTCCAGTCCTGTAACATCATCTTGCATTTGGCGGGAGCGAATCGTATGCCAAACATTCGTAGATTTCTGCTCAAGGTGTTTAGAAGACTCTGCATTTCGTCAGCGTCTTCGCCTAGAAGGACTATATCGTCTGCATATTCCAAGTCAACGAGATTATTCCCCGGTAGCAAGTCAATCCCTGAGTCACTGAAGTCACCTACGGTTGAGTCCATTAACACATCTATGATGAAGTTGAATAGAAAAGGAGATAATGGGCATCCTTGACGGACACCACTGGTCGTCATCAGTTCAGATGACAACTCTCCGTAAGCCCTCACCTGGCTGTATGAGTACGAGTAGAGTGCCTTAATCAGTGCAATATATTTTCTCGGAATTCCCTTTACGGCCAAGCATCTCCAGAGAACTTCTCGATCGACAGAGTCGAATGCTGCCTTTAGGTCAAGAAATATAATGACTGTTGGACGCCGGTAGGAATCCCTATGTTCTAGAATCTGTCGGAGGGTGAAGATATGATCAATACACCCTCTTCCTGGTCTAAAGCCTGCCTGGCTCTCTCGTGTTTGTGCTTCCCGAGCACCACTCAGTCTACGCATGATTATTGAGCCTAAGACTTTAGATACTATATTAGTCAAGCTAATCCCTCTGTGATTATCACAGGAAGACTTGTCTCCCTTCTTGTATATGGGGATAATCAGTGACTTACACCAACCCGATGGGACTTCTTCTGATTCCCAGACGCTGCCTAGTACCTAGGACAACAAGCATCACTAGCCAAGACCCTGGCATCCCGAGCCATTGATGTATGCTGTGTTTCAGAAACACGCATACAAGACCCAAGTGTGGTTATTCACCTAACCCCACCTGGCCAACAGGTTGAATCTGCAAAATTCACCTTGAGGGTGTCAGGAGATGCCACAGCTACTTCACGAGGATTAGCTGGTGTAGGGATAGCTTTGAGTACTAGGGCAGAAAAGACATTGCTTGACTGGATCCCGGTAGATAGCCGAATGTGTGCTGCCCGTCTGAACGGATCAGTAAAAACGAGAAAGGACTGCACCACTCGCCGATGCATTTTCGTAATCTCCGCCTAGGCCTTCACTGACTGCAGTTCAGATGAAACGAAGGATGAGTTCTACCAAAAGCTGTCTAGTTTGGTGCGAAAGGCTAAACTCTCAGACATAGTCGTTCTAGCTGGTGACTTCAATGCTCAGGTAGGGAAATTGCGTCAATCTGAGAAGGATGTCGGTGGCACCTATGGAGTTCCGTGCCAGCGAACCGATAACGGCGACCGTCTCCTACAGTTCTGTTCTGATATTCATTTGTTTCTTGTAAGCACTAACTTCAAACACAAGGAGAGACACTGTTTGACTTGGATACCCCCCTTCATCAAACCAACGCTGGACACAAATAGACCACATAGCAATAAGCTATCGTTGGCGTGGGTCGGTAGGAGATTATCGCTCCTTCTGGAACACGTGTATAGATACCGACCACGCACTGGTCCGTGCTCGGGTGTGCTTACGACTGAAAGGACGTAGGAAACAGCTGGCGGTATAACCATCACGTCCCCAGCCTCAAAATCCTCAGGATGGTCGGGGGTGGGTGTCTTGCGCTGCGGGTTGGCCACCCCTCCGCACACCTCTTGAAATGCTCCCATATGACCGGGCGTCTTACATAGCCTCTCCTGAGGAAGTCCTACTCACTGCCTTCACGCGGCGGAGGTGTTTCTTCACCGAAGTGAGAGGGCAAAAGCGGATGCCCGGCGCTCTCCACCGGGTTGACTGTCCATTGGATGACAGTCTAGGGGAGATGGCTAAACCCTGATTCCAAACCTCCAACGACTGGCGTATGAAGCTCACTGGCAGACGTATGGACAAAGGGCTTATTGGGTGCCCTGGATGTCTGGCCCCATTCAAAAAGACGTATGGACCGGACTCCGGTCACCGGCTGCTAAGGGATAGTGGAGTCCCCACTTCACTCCTACTGCCTTGTAGGTCACACTTGGTTGTGTAAAGGCTAGAGCTGCACTCTCAAACAAAAGGCCGAGGGATGCTGGGGACATCACTCGTACCTAATTCCCATGAAACTTCATGAACTCTTGTTCATGAAGCCGGCTCATCCTCCCGTAGGAGATAGCCGAAGTAAAGTAAGTCCCCAGCTCGGTCAGGAAACTAAATCCGCATTTGAGGAAGAATTAACTAAATACTTATCTGTGTTCAACATCTGTGCTCACCCTGAAGAAGCTTGGAAGAATATCCAGGCAGCCATAGATACAGCTGTAAAAGCTGTAAATAAGTTAAACCCAAAGGTGAGTAAAAGCCACTGGATCTTCACCGCCTCATCCGAACTGATGGATGCTAGAAGACTTATTCCGGCGAGCTCCGAATTCAATGGGGAGCGAAAGCTGCACAGAAGGAAACTTATCAAAAGTCTCCGCAAGTACCGTGAACAGCGGTGGGTGACAAAGGCGAAAGAGATGGAAAAATTTCGAGGATAGGCAACACCAGGCAACTATTTAGACTCATCAGGGAAACGGGTGGGAGAAGACAAATCATTACTGAAACAATCTCGGAAAAAAATGGCACTATAATTAGCTCCCAAGATAGACGACTGGATCGCTGGAAAGAGCATTATGAGGAGCAGTTTAATTGGCCCACAGCCACACTCAACCTTCCGAACATCCAACACCTCCCTGAATGGGATATAGACACAGGTCCTCCATCCCTAACTGAGGTTACTAAAGCTGTCACGAATCTGAAACTAGGCAAAGCAGCGGGACCTGATGGAATGACTCCAGAGGTATTTAAGTACGGTGGAGACACGGTTCTAGGCAGCGTCTGGGAATCAGAGGAAGTCCCATCGGGTTGGTGTAAGTCACTGATTATCCCGATATACAAGAAGGGAGACAAGTCTTCCTGTGATAATCACAGAGGGATTAGCTTGACTAATATAGTATCTAAAGTCTTAGGCTCAATAATCATGCGTAGACTGAGTGGTGCTCGGGAAGCACAAACACGAGAGAGCCAGGCAGGCTTTAGACCAGGAAGAGGGTGTATTGATCATATCTTCACCCTCCGACAGATTCTAGAACATAGGGATTCCTACCGGCGTCCAACAGTCATTATTTTTCTTGACCTAAAGGCAGCATTCGACTCTGTCGATCGAGATGTTCTCTGGAGATGCTTGGCCGTAAAGGGAATTCCGAGAAAATATATTGCACTGATTAAGGCACTCTACTCGTACTCATACAGCCAGGTGAGGGCTTACGGAGAGTTGTCATCTGAACTGGTGACGACTAGTGGTGTTCGTCAAGGATGCCCATTATCCCCTTTTCTATTCAACTTCATCATAGATGTGTTAATGGGGACTTAACCCTAAGTGACTTCAGCGACTCAGGAATTGACTTGTTGCCACCAGAGAATAATCTCGTTGACTTAGAATATGCAGACGATATAGTCCTTCTAGGCGAAGACGCTGACGAAATGCAGAATCTTCTAAACACCTTGAGCCGCAATCTACGAATGTTTGGCATGCGATTCGCTCCCGCCAAATGCAAGATGATGTTACAGGACTGGACTACATCGACGCATAGTTTAAAAATAGGAATTGAAGTGGTGTAGTAGCACGTTGACCGCTTCACTTATTTGGGAAGTACCATCAGCCCCAACGGGTTGATCTCTGACAAAATCTCAGCACGGATACAGGGGGCTCGTTTCGCATTTGCCAGTTTACGCCGACTCTGGCGTAGACGAGATGTTCGACTATCGACCAAAGGGCGGGTGTACTGCTTATCAGTCCGCTCCGTCCTCCTTCATGTCTTTCAGTAAGACCTGGCCATTGAGAGTGGAAGACATGAAAAGGCTGCCTAGCTGTCTTTGATCATAGGTGCCTGCGCTCTATCTACATCCCGTGTAAAGTGGCATAATAAGGTAAGCAACATTGAAGTTGCCTCCAAAAACCTCAGGATGGTCGGGGGTGGGTGCCTTGCGCTGCGGGTTGGCCACCCCTCCGCACACCTCTTGAAATGCTCCCATATGACCGTGCGTCTTACATAGCCTCTCCTGAGGAAGTCCTACTCACTGCCTTCACGTGGCGGAGGTGTTTCTCACTAAAGTGAGAGGGCGAAAGCGGATGCCCGGCGCTCTCCACCGGGTTGACTGTCCATTGGATGACAGTCTAGGGGAGATGGCTAAACCCTGATTCCAAACCTCCAACGACTGGCGTATGAAGCTCACCGGAGCTCACCGGCAGACGTATGGACAAAGGGCTTGTTGGATGTCCTGGATGTCTGGCCCCATTCAAAAAGGCGTATGAACCGAACTCCGGTCACCGGCTGCCAATGGATAGTGGACTCCTTACTCCACTCCTACTGCCTTGTAGGTCACACTTGGCTGTGTAAAGGCTAGAGCTGCACTCTCAAACAAAAGGCCGAGGGATGCTGGGGACATCACTCGTACCAAATTCCCAAGAAACTTAATGAACTCTCCTACAAACAACTCGATTCGAGACGTTCATGAAGCCGGCTCATCCTCCCGTAGGAGATAGCCGAAGTAAAGTAAAAAAAAAGTATTGAAGTTAGGCGTCGAGTTCTAGGTAAACAGGGGAAATCAATCAACGAACTCGTGAAGTTACAAAGACTGAGATGGTTAGGACATGTGTTACGTATTCCAAGTCATCGCCTCCCTCGACGAGCAATGTTAGCGGATATAGGGTCAGGCTGGAAAAAAGCTAGCGGCGGCCAAACAAAAACTTGGCACCAGTCAATGAAATCTACAACAGTCGGTCTAAGCCACGTAGGAAGGTGTAGACTTCCAGGCTGGGGTCCTCGGGACGGTAAAAATCTATGGTTGGAAACAATTGGTGACATGGCTCAAAATCCTTCTCAGTGGCGCAGATGCAACCACTCCTTGTGACTTATGATCTCCAATAAAACTGTTTTGTTCTTCGTTATTACTCCTCCTTTGTCTCACACCTCTGCTCACTGTCTCTATTATGCTTTTCTTGTACTTTCTTCTCTTGCTTCGCGTGCTACACGGAATGTGGCGACTTGAACTTCCGCACATTTGTGCAAAGTTCTATGTCGAAAACAGACAGACAGATAGTCGGAACATAATAATTCAGTGGTTAAGATAAGAATGGTTGACCCTGAGAAAATAAGTAATTTAGAAAGCCCAGCAATTGCACTGCATGCATTAACACATAACCACACAATAGGGTGGGAGGTTAAAATTTTATAAAGTAATATAGGTAGGTGGAGAGCGAGAAAGATTGATTACTGAATCCTGGTTCATTGAACCCACACCCAACACATGCAACAGAAATGACTCAATGCAAATACCAGAAATATGGAAGATATTACCACCAGTCAGTCAAATCAGAGGAGGATAATAAATAATCCTAAAATTCTATTTCACTTTACGTACATCACAACATTCTAACAAGTAAATTATTATGACTATAAAAACACTTGTCTTATTTCCCATCTGATTGTACTTGATTGATAACACAGTATTATTTCTGAATGTACATTAACTTATACTGCTTTTATTCAAATGTCTAACCATCAGTTTCTACTTATGTATATAAATGAAGGAAGAAAGTTGTGTGAGTAAGTGAGTGACTTGATATTTATTTTTTTTTATTTTTGATTACAGCTTGATTCCACACTGTATTTTTGGTACAAGTATGGAATTTTCAGCATGGATATCGGTAGCCCAAATTTTGCTGGTCGACCATAGATATCAGATGTGCGTCAGCAGAGGATCGAACCTCGGACCATGTGCATGGTCGGCGAGAGTCCTAACCACTGTGCCACCGACGCATGATTATGAGTGGCATTAGTTTGTGCTTGAAACATGGTCATCAGTTAATATTACTGTAAAACAACCCTGTGTGATTTATTAGAATAAAATCTCATCTATAATGGAGTTATACTCTACAGTCACAGTACCCAAGTTTTATATTTATATCAATAGTTACACATTAGCCGAATATGTAAGAGCATTTCTTCAAAATCTAAATAATAACAAGCAGTCAGCACATCAATGTCAATTAAAAAACAAAGAAAGAAAGAAAAAGCAAAAAAAGCACTCACATTGTTTCATCCTCTCTAAAGTGTATTATTGCACGTTTAGAACCGGATTGTACACTTGATGAATTAGCTTGAAATTCAAAAAATCTCTCGAAAACGGCTGCCATACAATTTCGTTTTAATAGACCACATTTATAGGCTAATCGATTACAATCTTCAGGAAGATTTTCTAAGTCTATGCATAAGGTAACACTTTGATTCGCCTCTGGTGAAGAAAGAAGCAGATCACCATATTCACGAGCTAATACCTCCACGTTAAAAAAAAAAGTAATAATAGTAACAGGACAATACAGTATTTTTCTTAGAAAATGAAGATGCCTGAAAACTAATACATCTGGAGAAAGAAAAGAACAAAGTTGAAGCATGCAATCGACAAAACAACTTCCTACTGTCGATATGTTGATGACATACTTATAGTGTGCAACAGTGGAAGTCATGCTTCCTACCAACTTACTCAGATTATTCAATGATGCACACACCAATACTGAGTTTACACTATGGAACATGAAAGTAACGGAAAGTTTCACTTCTTCGACATTGCCATGGAACGCCTATAAGACGGTAGTCTTCAGAAGTTAATTTATCGAAAGCCTACATGGTAAGGACAATACCGACATTTTAATAGCTTTTATTCAAATAGCTTTAAACGCGGACTAGTCAAGACTCTGTATTAGAGAGTGAGAAGAATACGCTTTGTAGAGAAATTAGAGGAAGAATTTGAGTTTCTTGAAAAGATATTGAAGAGCAATGGTTACCCTCAAAGATTCATCAACAAGTATGGAAGATCCGAAGTCACCAATGTATAACAAATCACAGCAAGTAAAAAGCCGATCTACATTCAGCTTGATTATAAAGGTGAAAACACTGCAGCAATGATCAACAGAAGGCTGAGGACATCACTAGCCATAGCCTATCCTGCAGCTAAGCTCGTTCCCGTCTATTGAACAACTTGCTGTTTGGTGGAATCAAAAATCGATAGACATCCTTCTCATGTTAACTCCAACTGTATATACAAATTTACATGTATCTGCGGCAGCAGTTACATTGGAAGGACAGAAAGAAGGGCATATCTACCAAAAAGCTTATGTCTAAAGGGAACAAATGCTTTAAACAGTGCTGTATGCATATATTGATTGATTGATTTTTGTTTAAAATCAACTCTGTGCAAGTATGTTAAAATTGTTTTTGTAGGTATACTTAATAATTTCTTTTCCCTGTAAGCAGCTGACGAGAAGGCAACGAAATAAAAGATAGTACCACTTTATTCTGCTAAAACTGTAGTTCTTGCTTTGCTCACATCCGGAGGAATTGTAATAAACATTAATTCGCAAGAGTATGAATATCTTGAAGAATAATGGATCTAGAAGACCATGAACGTAACCGCACGATTGATAAGTAAATGGCACCATTCCATTAAGATTCTTGAAATATCGGATCTTGGCATACCAACCCCCCCCAGCTAGGAAGTCTAAGGCCTTGCTACTTGACTCAACCTAACAGTCAAAGACTGCATGGATCGATATCATGTTTTATTCATACTATCCTTCACTCTTATCCAGCCTAATCGTATGTCAGTTAACATAGCTTGTCGATGAAGGCGATATTTCTGCATGCGTAACATATACCGTAGACACCTCAACCTGTGCAACTTCACGGCTTTACCCTAACTGGTACTCTACGCCTAATCTCAATATTACCCCTTAACAATGGAAATGGAATGCGAACATCTTTGGTCAAAGACAGCTAGGTTTTTCTATGTCTTTCACTTTCGATACCCGTGTCTCACGGGCATAAACAGGACCAAGCCATATGCAGCACGGTACACAAGCGTCGTTTGATGGATTGCTAGATATCAACGTCTACGCTAGATGTGATGTAAGATGAGGAATGACACACGAGCTTATAGGTAATATCTTAATACGATATATATATATATATATATATATATATATATATATATATCAAACTGGAAGATATGCAAGTGAAAAGCAACAAATTGGCAGAAGAAACATCAAAGATAGAACTGGAAGTAAACATGGAGAAAACAGAAGTGATGAAGATTCCTGACCAACTGCAGCAACAGCAACAACAACGACAAACAAGCAGCATAAATGAGAGGAACCTGAAAGAAACAACCTCCTTTACCTACCTACCTAAGAAGCATCGTTTCAACTATAAGCGGAACTGACGAGGATATCAAAGCAAGGATCGGAAAAGCAAGACAATCTTCCATTATTCTCAAGTCTGTGTGGAGGTCAACAGCACTGCTCAGCATGAAAACGAATATGAGATCTGGATATTCAACTCCAATGTGAAGTCAGTGCCACCTACTACATGGATGGATCAGAGACTTGCACTGCGCGTCATAAAGAGCACCTCAAACGAACTACAGACCTTCATCAACAGCTGTCTTCTCTCAATAATACTCAAGATCAGATGGCCGGTCAGAAAAGATCAGCGACAGGCATCTCTGGGAGCAAACCAACAAGGAACCGATTGTGCAACAAACAAGCAGAAAGAAATGGAGATGAATTGGCCATACTCTGAGGAAACCATCAAGTGACATCACTAGACAAGCCATTGCTCGAGTGAAACCCGAAAGCGAAGCGGCGAGTTGGTCGTCAGTGCAAGGGTGACTTGGAGGAGGTGATGTGAAGAGGAGATGAAAGCATGTGGGCTGACTTGGAGCCAGGTGAAAACGTTAGCAGAGTACCAAACGCAATGGAGACGCGCAGCTGAAGCCCTATGTTCCTCTAGGAATTAAAGGAAGTAATTGTATGTATATATATATATATATATATATATATATATATATATCATTGAAACGAATAGCCACAGAAATCAACGGTTCTTCGATTCACGGGATAGGAATTGGCCTTTTGACAAGACATTCTTGAAAATGCAATCAGTATAATCTCATTAAGCAGAAATGCTAAGATGTACTTTTCCAAACATACTGACGGTGGGTATCTCTGTCTAAAGACAAATTTCCACCGATAACTTATTCAACAATAAGGGATGAAGTAGTTGGACGTTTTGATTACTTTTCAATCGCATCGCTTCAGTAGTTACTTTACTCTACTACTCAAGACCTAGAAGATTTCAGTAGTATATTGTCCACCGCTTGATAACTGATATTGTTCATATGATTAAATCAGAAAATTTCAGAAGTAATAATTTAATTCAGCCTTTTACCAAACGTCATACCACCCAATTGTAGGGAGTTACCATATACGTGAGATGTCTGATAAGACTACATGTGCACTAAGTGTCTCAATGACTGATAATCTTCGAGAAGAATTATATGGACATGTTTAACCTGTAGCGCACTAAATGACAAACCTTCAACAACTGAATTTGGTAAACTAATAACCTTATTATCATTATAAATACAGAGAATACAGAAGGCAGTTAAGCATTATGGCCAAGAAAATCTCTAGGATTCTGCAGACCATGGCAGTCATGACATCTTCTTGGAATTCCAAAGCATAAAACTCGAGTTTTGGACCTGAATGACTATGCTTGATGAACTTTATATGTGTGTTTTAAAAGACAATACAGCTGTAAATACCACATGTATTCACACAGTAGTCACTTTGCACTTCATTTTATACTAGTACTTTTATTACACAGAGCACAAGTGAGACAGTTTCTTTTAATGGATTCCGAAAACTGATATGGTCTACATAGAAAACAAAATAATATGGAAGTAGACACTAATGATACAAAGTTCAAGTACTACACATTTAAGAAAGGTGACAGTTTCTGTTAGCTAAAACTCACTTATTTGGGAGCAATTTTATGTGTATTTCGTTGCATCTGCAATGAGTACGTAGGCTAGTGATACTACATAGTCACCTAGGTCTAAATATGTGGGATGGAATTCGAATTCAAGATTATGAGAGGAATAACGATAATGAATGTCTTACTAATTATAGATGCTCCGATGCTTCGTGAGTGAGACTTCAAACCTTCGGCTCTTACAGTTCCTTAAGATAGTCACTTGCTTCCGTCCGAGCACTCAAGCAGTAGACCAGCCCTCACACAAACTATAAGACAACAATTTCATTTATTTGGCACATTTCTTGGTGCCCATGATGTAACAAGCCTGTGTTTGAAATCAATAAAATATTCATAGTCAGTTAATAATCAAACAGTCAGTTATGTATGCGTGTAGAGTTGTCCTTAAAAATGACAACTATATATTCTTTATTAACAACTGTCACAATTCTTATTCATATTAGTTACAAGTAATGATTCTGATTAACTCTGACATGCTCGAAGAAAATCCTACCTATCGATTTCGTACAGCTTTTTGAACAAATCCACAGTGCGAATATTTATAGTCGTTTGGCCAGCTTCCCGTCTTTACCTAAAAACTACACACGACCTCGTAACTGCTTATCATGTTGCGACACCAATGGTGAAAGACAGATTGACTAAAGTGCGAGATGAGTCTTGGAATCCATGCTCAAATTTCGCCAGTAGACACCTAGGTGTCTACCTCCGCAATACACGAGAAAAAGTAGGAATAATACACAGATCGCCAATCATGTCAGTACTCGAGATACATGTTTAGATAAGATGCCCCTTTCTACGAAAAGATATGTAGGTGCAATCAAAGATTACAAAATCTTTTTTTAACTAGTATACGTATGCTGGCAAGGAAAAGTATACTTTTCTTGGTGTGACTATAGTCACGTCACAACTTACCTCCATCACCCCATGTTCCTTCAGTTCAGTGAAGAACTTGATGAAAATGCTCACAAGGATTTTCTTCTTTTCATTTGTTGGATTAGTTATACTATAAAGTACACCATCAAAGTCTGCAACCTTGTAATCGATTTTTTCATATCTACTTCTATACTTGTGATAAATTGTACACAAATAAGCAGTCTTACTCTACTTTCGCCTGCTCAAATCTGGTGTTTAGGATTTCCTCTACAGCTCGGTTGCAAACTTCTAAAATAATCATTGGTGGCAGCTACTTTTTGTTTGTGCGGTAATTATGCTGGGAATGTCCTTTCAAGGTCACTGAGTACAAACTTCATGTTAGACTTGACATTCTTCAGAATTTTTACTGAGGATAAGAGGCTTTAGGTTTGCGTTAATTCTTTCCCATCTTCAGTCCTAGGAAAATAGCAGACGTAGGGCGAAGGAACCATTCCTTCTTTGAGTCCCTTCAAAGTGTTAACAGCTTTTTGGAGAATCACTACTTCACAGAGATATAGTTGTTCTTGTTGAGCTCTTCTGCAGACGAAGTTGAACATTAAGCCCCCATCAGGCACCGAAACACAAACGAATTTGAAAAGAGCCATATTGTTGGAAGGTAAATTTTGTCCCCTAACTCTTTCCTTAACAAAACCATAATATATCCATAACCCAAACCCAGCCCTGATGTATGCCAAAAGTACCCAAATTTACCTCTAAACAACCCTGTTATTACTTTAATTAGTTTAGTTTAGCCCTAACCTACTCATGTCCCCTACTTAATCAAAGTCTTCTGCTAACCTAACGTAAACTAACTAGGTATCCTGTTTAACATCATCGCACTACGTCCAGCACTGCTCTTGTGAATGTCGTCATTTCCTTGGTTTCATTGTCTATCTCACCGAGCATTTCAAGGCAACTGGTCCCTCCCAACCTATAGGATCCTGAGCTTAAACTTCGTCTACCTGTTTTACCGAGCGAGATGTTTCGACTAGGCAGAAACGTAATGGAAAGGTGAGAAAGTCTAATAGTAGTTTCTTGAAGTTCATTTTCAGATATCCTATCTGCATTAGGACAAGTAGCGGTTTAATCTATCAGGTCGTTTCTGGTGTAATAAATCGGTCTTACTACGAATCCTACGTATAATCGTTTCGTAAGTTAGATACCCAATCGTCGGCACCAGATATAGGCCACATTCCTATAATCGTGAAGAACACCGAGAATTCTAGGCGAGCAACACCTCCCAGCTCCACCATTTCATTTCTAGTGATACATATTTTCCGAAAATTATTAGTCTCAGCATCCATTCCTCGACAATGAATGATGACCCTCACTGTTTAAGTTGACTGGTCTAGCTGAAGGCTCGTGGTCAAGCATCCCTGTCATTTGCCACGCTGTCATGTCTCGTTCGGTCATTCGTGCACGATCCCTAGCTAGCTAAGCAGTTAACCCCACACTACGATGTCGGTTCCAAAATAAACTTCGTACTTTGGACGATCAGCATCGACAACAAAATTCGGATTTTCAATGCAAACGTCAAGTCAGTTCTTCCATACGGATCAGAAACTTGGTGAGTGGGTCACGAAGAATATTTCCAAAAGGCTGCAGACCTTTATTAACAACTGTCTTCGCTCTATACTGAAGATCAGATGGCCGGGACCGAAAGAGTCACCAACAAGGAATTATGGGAACAAACAAAGCAAGAACCAATCGCCCAACAAATATGCAGGAGAAAGTGGAGATTGATCGGACACTTGCTGAGGAGACCGCTGGGTGACATCACGAGTCAAACCCTCGAGTGGAACCCGAAAGGGAAGTGGCGTGTGGGACGTCCAAGGGTGACATGGAGGAGATCGTGTGAAGAGGAGTTGAAAGAATATGGACTAACATGGATGCAGGTGAAAAGTACAGGAGAGGACAGAAGCAACTGGAGACGTGCAGTTGAAGCCCTATGTTCGATTAGGAACCCAAGGGTGCAATAATAATAATAAACTTGCCTTGCTTTATCCCTGGTCTGTGCAGATCAAATACTATATGAGCTGTTTGCATAAGATCCTGCTTTATTATACGCTGTACTATCCATGAACGTATACATATATACTCAGCAGACTTCTGGCATATACCGAGAATTCACTCGGGTGCTCCTGTGGGGCCTCTCGAAAATAAAGTGCTGTCGTTTCTCCGTGGTGGCATACTACCATGGATCTCAGAATGATGGAGTGTTTAAATGGTTATGATCTATATCTTTATTACTTACAAAACTTCCCTTTTTCATTGAATGGTGAATGCTTCTCCATGTGTTTGACTAGGTATTCCCCTACTCCACTTTCCCTTTGCCGTGCCTTCAGAAACAGTGTTTCACGAACACCATTGGTCTTCCTTTGTGTTATGGGCGGTCGGTTGGGAATTTCATTGGTCATTTTGATTGAAAATTTAGTTTCCCAACTCCTGTATTGCACACATGTAGGTTACGGTCACCGGGCTTTGAACAATCACCAGCCGAAACTCCGCAATGATAGGAATCCTCTTAACATCACTGCGTCGTTCACTTACTTCCAGTTCATCAGACCGTCATCTGGCACAGTCTAAAAGACATAAGTTTGAACGGATTTTGATGCCTGCCCCCTTAGCCGTATGACCGCCGCCCAGTATTGAATCTTTCTTAGATTTTGCTGTGATCTTGAGATACCGTTCAGTTTAATTTAATGGAGAGTTAGTACTTGGCCTATTCTAAGTGACTGCATATATACGGTACTTTCTTCTGCCACAAGGAGTAGCTTACTTGCAATGGGCTTGACGGACGCAGGCTAGGGTTTTTTGCCGAAGACTATATGTTGGAATCAACTATCAAGCTTCGCTTTCCGCGGGAGACAACATCTCGTCATCAATTCACGTTCTGCCACTCACCTGCCTTGACGGTAGCTGCTGGTTATCCACACAATTATTGAAGTTGGTTATTTATTCACTGTGAGAAGAAACTTGTGCAGACCCCTATTCACCACTAAGATAATTCATGCCTTTAATTCCCGGAGTGACAACGAGATTCATCGGCACATCTTGATTTCATTTCGTTTTCCTCTACTATATTTTTCTGGTTCCTCGGTTGCCTACGGGCTCTAAATTTATGAAAACATGACCTCTGTATCTACCTCAAGTTGAAAATTCTTCTTTTCCGATGTGTGTTCTACTTCACGGCACAGAGTGTGGTATCACTCACTGGTCCCATAAGTCTAATCTGTCCTAATTTCCCTGCATATATTTCCTAGGCGATAGGTTGTTGGGTGGTTCACAGCCTGCCAGAGTTCCTTGTCGCTCTGTAGTGTCTTTCAAATAGATACCAGTGTGGTCACTCATAGGTAGCTGGCTGTTAAGGAATTCGGGAGGTCGAGATTAGCAGCCAAGTGGGGACCATATCTAATGATTTGTAAGGCTGTTAATATACTGAACGACATTGAATGGTGAAGGTCTCCCCATGTTTTCTAACAGGCCTCCCCGCTTCATTTGCCAACCAGCTTGCTTCTGAAGCTCACTTTCAAACTTAAACTCGGTTTTCTGTGATTAGATGTCAGTCGAAATTCTGACAAATGTTTCAAAACTAGTGTTGGTTCCTGAAGCTTACTTTCCCTGGTTAGCCAGCTAATCTTCATCACTGTGGAATGAAAGCAGCACCCGGTGGAAGTCTGCACAAGGCAGTTTGAAATGACATTTGTGCTAAGCTTCTGAGCCACATGGAAGCACTGACTTGACACTAGTTTCGAAAATCTGTGAATTGCTACATGGCCCCTGCTACACTCTGTTTCCATGGACTACATCAGTTAGAGGCGAATTTCTGTTAACTTCATTCCCTCATTGTTCAGTAAGGAGTTTGCATACCTTACAAAGACGGAATGGCCTTCATTGCCAACTTTGTTCATCAACTTGAAGCTAGACGCAAACTACTGCCCACACAGCATGCGCAACAGCAACCATGTGTTTGTCTAACTTCTCAGATTCAGGATTCAGGACAACGGTTTCTGAAGTCTGGAACAATATGATCGTACAGTTCTTGTTAGATGTTAAAAACGGAAACGTTGTGCACAGCTTTTGTTTAAGATGGTTCATTGTGAAAATATTCATAACTTTGGAGTGCAATCTAAAATACAGCGTGCTGCCCGGCGCTTCTTTTTCTCACTGGTCCATACTGTCTACTGACTTCACTCCTAACCGTATTGCATCCTTTGGATTTTGCAGTGAAGTCTCATCCGAAAACTATTCTACAAATCTGCTTGACGATGACCAATATTAGTCTGCATTCAGTGAAATGCACTTCTGGCGTTACTTACGATGCCAATGCTGACAAAATCATACAAATGAATCACTAATTTTGAGTAAATACCCAATTTGAATACTAATTAAGAACAAGATACGATGCCGCACACACTAAAGTTATGTGGAGGAATTGACTTCAAGCTTTATTTTTTTTCCAAGTATTTGTAACCCATCCAACACATACTTGGTTTTTTTGTTAATGCGAGGACAGTATTTCTATATTTCTTGATGTGCTCCATTGAATGACTAGTTAGCAGATTGCACTCAAAAACTAATGTCAAAAAGGACAGCAACCATAAGTCAAATTTATGTTATTTAAATAATCTTTATTCATGCCTGTAAAACTGGTGTGTTGCACATAGATGCAAATAAATATATTATTGTTAAGACTTGTCCAGAGCCAGAGATTGTGCGACACCCTGCAAACTGTCATAGAAATGATAAGTGAGGTAACAAAATTGAATCGCCACACATCAACCGTCAATGTAGCTGAAGATTGGATGATACATGGTTGTTTGCTCAAACCCAACTTCCCCATAATTTTCGCATGCCATCAATCCGGCAGTCATCGTCTCATCGTTCGTTGTTCAGTGGAAGAATAAAAACCATCAAAAGTATTACCGTGATTCATTGCTATAACATTTGTTCTTAGACCTTGTGTTGTTGGTTATATGTTGGTGTAAGAATAAAGGCTTCTTGAGCGGCTGTGGCGATGGACTATTTCTTTCTCTGTACTTACTGTTGATTGTTAATATATTTCTTACATAAATTGAATAATAATTCCGCCAAGTACAAATTCTTGTATTCATTCCTCTCTGTGTTCCGGTTGAATTCTTGTAATTCTATCATCGTGAAATACTAATACTACTATTACAAATAATTACAACAATTTGGCGTCGCAATGGAACTAAATAACCTTGGAAAGTTTCCTATAAATGGTTCACCTCGGGATATCGC